TATATATATATGTACTTGATTGCTTTTGTGCAGCACTTGTTATATGATTTTTGGATACCCAGAGGCTGGCATGTGCGGTTTATACACAGATACAGTTATACATGTTTGTTTTAATCTGGTAATTCACTTGATTTTAGCTTGGCAGACGATTGTTTATTTATTTGTCTTTGTATCTTTATTATAGTGCCTAGGAGCTTTTTCTTTTATCTTTTATTATTGGTGCAGATGAATTTTGTTCATGCAAAAATACTGTTTTTTTTAATTTTCGTTGCACAAAATTGGGAATTCTTTGCAAAGTGAAATCTTACCACATTTACCAAGCTTAGGTAAACTTCCCCTGCAAAGTACAAGTTCCCTTGCAAAGTGAACAGCCTATTTTCCTTCAGTAAATCGACCCCTAAATCTCCAACAGCATAAGGTATGTAGGTATTTAGGGACTGATAATAAGCTAGGACCATACCCGCAACAGTCCTTGCTGGAACTGATTCTTTGTTGATCCAAAACACAACTTGAGACAACACAACGGTCATGCTGCATGGGATGTATGTATGGATGATGTAATATCCTATTTTTCTTCGTAGGTAAAACAGGACAATTTGCTGTGAATATTCACCTGTGACAAACAGATAATGGTAATGGTAAATGAGAGATGAAATGGAATTAAGGGTTGAACCAGAACCAAGGCATACCAAAAACTGTTCGAGCTGGAACAGATTCTTTGTTGATCCAAAAAGACACCTGAGAAAGAATGACGGTCATAATGCAAGGGATATATGTCTGTATAACAAAATAGCCCATTTTTCTTTTCAAGTGGAAATGCACTGTCATTACAATGTATTCACCTGTTGATTAAAACACAAACAAAGAATGTACTAAAAGAAACAATATTTAACATAAACATTTTAACGGATGCTGTTTTCATTTTACAATATGATCATGTTAGTATTTTCACTGAATTAATACAAAAATTTATTTATATAAAAACAAGAGGTTTAGTTAAAAGAAAATTGTTATGAAAAATATTGAAAAGATTAACAGTGCAAAATGCAGGAAAAAGCAAACTACATTCAATCAAAGCGATAGCAGAAAAATCTATAATTTTAGGTTACCTAATACCAGTATTTTAGTATTAGGTTATGCATAAGGTAAAGTCTGATACTGTAATTGGATGTTTTTCTTATATTAAAGTGGACCTTTATCCCCTTTGACTAAAAATCACATCAGCATACAGCTCTGAATGATTTAAATCTTACATTCATTAGTTAAACAAACATATTTTTATTTTACTTATAATTTTTCCTGGTCCACTTTGGCACAAGTGATGTAATAGTGCCCAAGCACTGCATCCTGAGAAGGTTACATCAGCAGAGCATTGCTGGGAAATCTCATCTGTAATTTCATGAGATCTCAGAGAAAGGTATTTTCTCCCCCTGAGATAATGTGCATGTCCACATGTCCTAGTCACAGAGTTTTAGAAAGTAAAGGAAGATCTAGTAACCTGCTTTTAATAAAAATGGCCACTGTCAGAAGACTGGGGAAGAAAAGAGAAATAAGGTATGCAAAAAATAAAAATCCTGCAATTATCTAGACGTATCTGTTAGTAGATTGTCATTACTAATCATTTCGAAAGGTGTCTTTGTTATTATTTTGAAGATATGGGTAAAACAAGTTCCTTTTTAAGTGAATATGGATAACTTCCCATTGTCTCTCTGTAGTTGTACTATATGCTCAATATTGTTTCCCTTTATACTATATATGGTACATAATCTGAAAAAGTCAGGGTGAACATAGTGGATGACACACAATCCTCAGAATTATAGAGGAATATAAATCATATTATCCCTGAAGAAAAAGAGGATGAGCTACATATGTAATTTGCAGCTTTTCTCCCAGGAACAGATTAAACCTATTACTTGAGACAGTTCTGCTAGAAACCCTAATATAGATGAGTGAAATGTTACATAGCTGGTAATATTGCATAAAGACAAAGGTCCATCCAGTTCAACCTATATATTTGTGTGTGTGTGTGTGTGTGTGTGTGTGTTGCTATGGACTCCCATACCCATGTTTATTTTGTAAACTGAGAAACATATATATATATATTTTTTTTTAATGCATTAATGCTCTCAGCTTATACCACTAACGGTGGAACTTGATTCAGAGTGGATTGGGCATAGTAACTGAAAGCATGATTTGTCAACTTGATTGAAATCCACGGGGTCTATTCACTAAGCTGCCAAAGGATCTAGCCATAGCTTCGGCTGATCCTTCCGCTAGCTTCAGCCCCAGGACCCCTTCGGTTCAGTAGAACCGAAGGGCTGCTGTACTGGCTATTCGCTATAACCCGTACAGCTCCCGAAGTTGGCCGAGCGGTTCAGTCTGAGCCGCGGTGAAAGCTGAAGCTGGCCAAATGGCCAGCCATTGGCCAGCCAACAGCCTACTTCTGACAGTTGGGCGGAGCCAGCCGTCATCTCACGGCTTGCTCCGGCCACTTTCAGAGAGAGAAGGTTTTTCTCTCCCGCGCAGCCGGGAGTCGTCCAGGAGAGTAATGGCAGATGGCGTCCCTGGTTACAATGTTATACATTGAGTCTGTGTTTTTTCTGGCCAATAACTGCCATTGTGATAACAAGTAGTCATTGCATCCTTTACTGGGTTTTGTAAGCTGTAAATTTCTTAGTGCAAAAAATTATAATTCAGTTTCTAAGTAAAGCTTCACTATGTACAGTATATGAATCAGAATATAAAGTCAGATATTTACACATCTATCAATTCAATCTATATGTAACAATAGTGTATAACAGCTTGGGAAATGCTTTAGCACTGTAACACAAAGATACACACAAATATAGTGCAACACCACATTAATAAATAACTATGTTGCACTTGCAAACATAAGGCGTATAATAGACACAAGGCAACAGCAGGAGGTGATATTTAGAGAGCACTTCCATGAACTTCAGCAATTGGGCCCATTCCGCTGTGCCAAAATACTAGCCCAGAGTTTCCTGAACTTTGATTCACACTGTTCGTTAGACTCTGCCCAATGCTGATATCTACAAAAACTCTTCCTCATAGTGATACCAGGCCTGCCTCCCACTATATATAATAATGTTTATGTGCTTCTTTGTGTTTCATTTTTCAAGTTATACTGTTCACTGACCTTTGCTATTTTATTTTTCTGATAAACCCTTCAGCACAGTGAGGAGGTTTTCTGCCAGTGTTGTGCTGTGTTAATCTAATCAAGCTCCTTGCAGCTCTAGGTAATAAGGATGCTGATGTTTTCTCCTTTGCAAGACATAGAGAAGACATTGGAGACATGTGATCTCATTGCATATGAATTAACTTCTCCACAGAAACACCAAGATCACTGGTCTGTTGGTAAATAGGGAACTGTTGGCTTATGTCATTTATTGTTTGCAGGCTCTGTAGAGATCTCAGATCAAAAATCGATTTTATTTTCCTCAGCAACTACATTAGTAACCTATTCCTATTACAGTAATATAGGAGGCACGATGGAAATTTCAAGTGACATACATTTTACAGAATTAAATATGATATATGATATATATATATGCCAATCTTTTTATGAGAGGCTCTAAATCAATGTTTTTACAAAGATGCCAACATAGCTCTAAAGAAAAAATAAGGTTTACCTGTATTAGATTTCATCGTTTCACTGGAAACTGTTTGCCCAACAAGATCATATTGGAGAAGACTTGAAGATTCTTCTGGTACCTCAACTGAGTATAAAGGTCCTTTCTTCCACGTATAAACAATTTCACTTTTTGGATATGCATCTGTTTGTTTAAGTTCAGAAGAGAGAAAAAAATAACCTAAGAAATAACTCTGGCAAATGAGTAGCAATGCTGAACCATATGTCTTGTTATCTTACTATCCAGTTCCTACATTGGCAGAGAAGAGGGAAAAGGAGGAGATGTGCTAAGAAAAACACTACAACTCAAGAACAAATAATGTATAATTCAGTTACATTTTCAATATTTTCATAGTGAGCTGGCCTTTTGGGGCCATAGGGCAGTAATGTGCTTTCTCAGTTCTGCTTTATAGAGATGTGGGTGAGGACTATTATGGAATGCTGAACAAGTATGCTGGAAATTACATTTTGCCAGTGATTTTTGCCCCAACTGTGTATTTTAGAAGCTATCTACATACAGGTGAAACTTGAATAATTAGAATATCGTGCAAAGTTCATTTATTTCACTAATGCAACTTAAAAGGTGAAACTAATATATGAGATAGACTCATTACATGCAAAGCAAGATAATTCAAGCCGTGATTTGTCATAATTCTGAAGATTATGGCTTACAGCTCATGAAAACCCCAAGAACCCCAAATCCACAACCTCAAAAAAGTACATTATTACATGCAATCAATAAAACAAGGATTGTACATAGAACAATATCGGACCTCTGAAAAGTACAAGCATGGATATGTACTCAGTACTTGGTTTGGGCCCCTTTTGCAGCACTTACTGCAATTACTTTTGCACAATATTCTAATTATTCGAGTTTCACCTGTATATATGCTTAAAAGATATGCATTACCCATGATCCTTGCATGCAGCAAAAGTGAGCAGATGGTATAAATAGATATAAATTTTAGTTGGCCATGTTGTGTTTACACAGTCACCGTGGTGTGCCTTTACATTTGTTTAATTCTGCAGTTTTTTCTTGATCAAGCCATACCTAACTATGAACATAACCTATTTTCTCTCTTTTAGTTTATTAAATGTACAAATGTGTTTTAATATATCTGTTTGGTAAGTGCAAAAAAAGAACACCTGTTGATCCTCCCAGTATCTTGTGAACTGATAACATCCTTCACTGTTTGCCTAAGCTGCATCACATTGTTTCCAGCTGTGTACTTAAAAACACCTTCTCCAATGTTATGGTGAAGCGAAGAGAGGGAGGTGCTTTGTATTCTTTTACTAGTGTGGCAATGTTGCTCCGCCATAGATACAGTACAGAGAGTGACCATTGTCACCATTGGGTATAAAGTGTTTACTGGCAGGATTAGCATGTAAAAATAAAAAGTATACAGACTAAAATAAAAAAAATTCAGCCCCCACATTCAGCCCCCCGCAATGGTAAGCTTTACTATACGAATGTTTTATTCTCTGTTTAGATACACTTTAATGGCAAAACATATTGGGGTGGATGCACTAAAGGCAAATATATTCATTTTGCAAGGGAGCTTTCACTTTGAAAGGGCATTTTCCCGTAGCTTAGTGAATGAGGTGAAGTTCTGCTGGCTTTCATTATCCAAGCATGTGCAAACAAAAATTTTAAGTAATTTTCCGGCCTAAAATGTGGAATATAACATGGGTACAAAAAATTAAAAAAAGCCCTCAGTCATGAAGGGGTTGAGGAAACAACTTTATTATAAGACATGTGCTACTGGGGCAGTACAGTGGCTTAGTGGATAGCAATTCTGCTTTGCAACACTGGGTGTCCCCAGTTCAACTGCCATTTAGGACATTATCCGCATGGAGCTTGCATGTTCTCCCTGTACTTGTGTGGGTTTCCTCTGGTTTTCTTCCACATTCCCAAGATATACTGGTAGACTTATTGGCTCCTCTGTAAATCAGCTCTAATAGGTGTGTGTATGTATTGTGGGAGTGTGTGGCATTGCCATGATGTAAAATGGCCATGTGATTACCCTGGAAGGGCTCATGGAAGGACACTATGGGGTCTATTCAAAGCCGATCCAGATGTTGGATCGGCTGAGTCGAACTCCTTCTGCACTTCGGGTCAGCCGAACATGCTGAGCATGTTCGGCTGATCCGAAGCCACACGAAGCAAGCCGATGTACGGCTGATTTCAGCCGATGTACGGCTGAAATCAGCCGTACCAGCCTGAAGTGAATAGCCGCACAGTGTTCGGCTCACTTCACTTCTGATCGGTCATTCACTCGGCTGCCCTCGGCAGCTTTGTGAATAGACCCCTATGTGTCAGCAATATTTGGGTTATGGTCCCTTTAAGTGGGAAACTAAGTGCTACTTGACCTGCAGGTAGGGAAGTTAAAATCAGGAAACTCCTCAGAGAGTGGCAGAGGCACACGTGGCTTGCTTGGAGCAGGAAGTGGGTCAAGCTGAGTGGCATGTATACTGGAATGACAGAAGAGAGCCAGGTAGGATGGTAGAATGGTGAGGCTGAGAGAGTCAGGGACACATGGAAGGTGTGGAGCTGCAGGAGTCACTCAGGAGGTGTGAAGTAACTGGAATCACACAGGTGTGTGCGAAACCATTCTGGTGTGTTATATTGCACTGTGGACTTTTGTTTTTTGGGGAAGTACCCTGGAAACCCTAGGGATACCTTATCTGTGAAAAACACTTTAAGTCGCAAAGACTGTTCTATCATTTTGCTAAAGATAACCAGATGGTATTGCTTGTGTTATGCTAATGCCTAGCTACTTTAATTTTGTGAAGAATTATTTTTTGTGAGAATTGTCACCAAGCACTCACCATTGTGCTAAATTCCTCAAAATATTACAGTATGTATGTACAGCATGTGTGCATGTGAGGGAGGTTTGATTGTAAGTTCCTTTAACCACCTCCCACACGCCGATTGTTGAAAGACGGCCGGACGGGAGTCTCTCCTGGATGCAGGGTTTTAAATGGCCAGCGATGGCCATTTACATACAAGCGGTCCGTCATCTGTAAAGACACCTGATTGTTTGTATGATTCAAGTGAGGGTGCGCCCCCTCCTTACCTCTGGTTGCCGTCGCTGTCCCTGCCGTCCCCGCAATCCCGGGCGTCCATCCGTCCCGGGCAATGTGGCTCTGTTCACTGAGAACGGAGGGAGATCAGTCCGCGATCTCCCTCCGCTCTCCTCCCGGTCTCTGAATGCAGGAAGTGATGTATATTACATCACTTACGCATTCCTCTGTCACTCTCTCCTTTACAGAAACCGGAGAAAAGCTGTTGAAGCAGATCTGTGCTTCATCAAAAAAATAAAAATTTACACACACAAACCAAAAAAACCCCACACATTTTTTTAAAAGTCCCCTACCCTCACATAGATGCGCAGCAATGCGTTACATGCGCATACACGCAAAAACGGCGATTGCTCCAATTATGCTGTACGTGTTACATATCGCATGACGGAATAAACGTCAATCAAAGTACCGGAGCGCTTTAAATACTGAAAAAATGGCCTGGACAGGAATGACACATAAGTGGCACAATATGATTCCATAAAGAAAAAATGTGACATTAATTCTACATACAACTGCCAAACTTCAGAGGGCATGCATGTCCATCCATAGGAAAATTCATTAACCTCATTGGACATTCTGCTTTAATTGTCAATCTGAAATAAAGATACATTGACATTTTAACAAAGTATACCTTATATCATAGGGTTTTTTTTACATTGTTTTGTGCTGTGCAGATATTCAAAGCCAATCTTTGCCTATACAGGTTAAATATACTACCAAACACTTTAAAGAACTAAAAAGAACTGCATTCATATAATGTCATAAAATGTGTTAATTACAGTAAACGTCCTACATTCTGGTATCAATATTGTGATTTCCTAAGGCCAGACCAGTGGAAAGTAATGCAAATTCAGCCCAGCTGCACAGTACATGCAAAAGGTTGAAAAAATTAAGGTTTTGCTTTACATAGTGCCAGAATAAACAAGCTGTAGTGTCTTCAAGACGACATGTAAATAAAATTTTCTGACCAACGTAAATTCAGACGATTTTTATAAACTCAAACATCTGGATGCATCCTAATTTCTGAATGAAACAAATACTGAATACAAAATAATCTGAATTTTGCAGTAACAAAAATTTGGATGCATCTCAATGTCTGAATGCCATTCGGACTAATGTTCACGGTTAAAATAATTTAAAAAACCCAGCATGCAGTCCTCCTCCCAATCTTTACCTGGATCTTTAGGTCTGGTAGGAATTTTAAAGAGGGACCCTTAAATAATGAGTGATTAATGAGTGAATCTGAACATTATGAAAACATTACAGAAAAAATAAATCTAAATGGATCCGAAAGGAAACACATTTTTAGTGGGTTTACATGTCTACTGTCTTCCCTTCATTGGTGCTGCAATCCAGTTTAATCGGTTAACTCCATCTGGAAAGTTCCCTTACTTGTAATAGTGTTGAAAGATTATGTAAATGTGGGACAAAGCCATGTGAACTGAATCTTTAGCGGTATTTCCTCTAGTTTAGAAAATGAGCTAGAGCTACATGTTTTTCAGCCCACAGATGAGCTGATAAAATATGATTTTTACAAATGTTAAGCCGAGAGACAAGTTAAATGCACATAACTGCATTTGAGAAATTACATTTTACTGAATAGTGTCACTCTGGACCAAATCTTTTATAATGCAGTAAAATCCACATACTGTAGCACATACAGTAGTATGTTGTATTACATATTTTTCTGCATCAGATGCAATTTTAATTGCAGACTGCTTTAAAAATCCCCTGAAGTGTTATTTTACTCTGTGTTTTAAGCTGAAACAACTATCAGTATTATTTAGACTTGTAAAAAGCACAAACACTCTTCTGTGTAATATTAATTAATTGGGAGGTCCGCAATATCCAAAGCCATTCCAGCTGGCCTATTTTGCTCCGGTTTATCACACTAATTATCAAGGTCAGCTAAAGTTTAAAGGCATGATAGACTATGATGACATTTAAGGGTAATTTGGTGCATTGAATGTGATAATGTCAAACAAAATATACAATAATTTGATGAGTTTAAGTCCTTGGAAATGTGTACTTGAGTTCTGTAACACATTTATTATTTACAGTAATACCCTCTCTTACCTCATAGTATAGAGGATTGTTCCATTCTGCATAATTCTGAAAAGTTTATTGGGAGTTGTCATATTATGAGAGATCGACCTTTTCCCATTTCTGAAAAAAGTGTCTGGTGTCCAAATCTTACTGACCATTAAATTATTTAATCTAAGAATTTCTGTAGGACCATCAAATTTTAGCCGTTCATCAATCCATGTCTGCCGGAAAAAAACATCCATTGTGTATTCCTGTAGGAAAATTAAGACCATTAAAGGTTTCAGGGCAAAACACCAGTCCAAGTAATTTAATAGACAACTTAACTAGCATGTTAGCCACACTTCTGTCACTGCTTAATGATTTTAATCCTATTACCATTAAGCAGTTACTTAAAAAAGCTACTCTATGGGGGAGGGGGAATGTGCTTTTACTTAACGTCTCACTGAACTAAAACTTAATCAAGCAGTACAAAATAGCTTGAATGTTCTAAGGCAAATTACCTGAAAACCTGTAAAATAATTACATGCAAATATGTAATACTTAGAATAAAAATTTAAGAAATGGATTGAGAGCATTAACATCAAACTTTGTCTTTGGCACAGAATTGTAATGCTAATTTTGTGTAAGTTTAATAAGTTCTGTGCAAAAGGAATTGTTTTTTCTATTACAACATAATATGAAATTAAAATAGTTCTCTTTAGGGTCATGGGAGGACATATACTAACCCCCTCCCATGACCAAAAGCTCAGTATATTGCGGGCTATTGCACACGATATACTGAGGGCACCACAGCCCGGATAGATCCCTATCTAGAGCAGGGACATGCAGTCAGGGGAGGCAGAGCCTCACCTAGTATTATGGAGGAAAAAGCTGTCAGCTTCATGTCTGAAGCTGACAGCTTTTTCTCAATTCAGATCGGCTTGTTACAGGTTACACAGCAAGGAAAGCCTCCACCGCTGTGTTACCTGTCATGGACATAGTGCTGCCTGTTAATTACAGGCAGCGCTGCATCCGGCTTTTGACACGTAGTTAGGTTACACAGCAGTGGGTTTCCCCACTGCTTGTGTAACCTAACTAGTGAGACAAGAGCTGTCACAGCCTCTACTCTGTGTTAGAGGCGTGAGCTCTGCGGATGGCTGGGACCAATGGCAAAGCGCCATTGGTCCAAGCTCTCCAATCAAAAAAAAGAAAAAAAAACACTGAGTCAATCGATCTCAATGCCTCAGCAGTGACAAGCAAGTGAGGGACAGGAAGGCTCCTCTGTGTCTCCTCCCTTCCTCCTCCCTCCTTCAGGCTGGGGGGCGGGGTGGGATGTGCTGGGGGCGAGGCTGGGGAATGCCTCACCCAGAACCAACAGCACAGCACATCACTGATCTAGAGGTAGAGCCAGCTGTGCCTGCCCCCTCCCCCCGTTCGTTCCTCCACTCAGCACTGGAGGATCAGAGATGGGAGGGGGGAATCTCTGCAGGGAGCGGTGACTAACAGTCACCGCTCCCTGCAGGAAGACGATCGGGAGCGGATCGGTGCATGTTTCTGCTCACTTCCCGATCTATAGAGCCAACCTGTGACAGCTTCTTTATCACAGGTCGGCTCTAACTATGAGGATGAGTGGTGATCACTCACCTCATAGTTTTCCTTTAAGTTACTGTTATAGTAACATTTCTTCAAGACTTTGACACAAAATTAAGAAAATCTGTAGCCCAGTGTAAAATGGAAACAATGGAAAAAGCTATCATACTGGCATATTTTATTTCTGTGTGTGAAGATTTAAAAAATGTTTAAATTCTAATTACATATTAATGTATGTGTTAACATTCATGGCATGTTCATAAAATTGGTTAATGTATTTGCAGTGACCTACCCCATGCTTCTACTTGATTACTCACATGTTTGCATATAGAGATGTGCAATCAAGTGAGTAATCAAGTAGAAGCGTGGTGTAAAGCATGCCTTTGGGTACTTCCTTTTGGATCAAAATGGTGCAGCATACAGAGTTGGCCAATTATGGATAATAAAATGAGTGTTTGATGTAATTTGTAAGTATAGAAACAATTATGTTTTTCACTCATAGCAACCAATCCAATTTCAGCTTCAAAAAAATTAAACATGATTGCTGAATGTTTGCTATAGCATGCTATATGAACTAAGGGATAACATAATGACAAACCAGTGTTGTAAGACTTGGCTTTGCAAGGATCGAAACTGTTGATGTTCTGGAAACAGCAAATTGTCAAATCAGTTCAAAAGCAAACAAAAAGGTGAATTTAAATGAAAGTATCCAGGCAAATAAAAATGCTTTTGTTTTTAGCTCTCCTGATTTGATTATCATTGTCCATAAAGCATCCCAGGGTCATGACTCACTTCTGAAATAACTTTGTGAACATGCCAAATGTGAGCATACATATTTACTGGGGTAAAGAGATAGACTGACATGTAGTTAGTTTGCTTGTCATATTTCAGAATAGTAGAAAATTACAAGCTTATTTTCATTAGCATTTTATGTGAACGTACTGAATTTGGAAGTATGCGCTTTTACCACATGTTTGGAGAGTAGAAACAGCTGGCTATGTGTGAACAAAACAGATCTTGTAATGTATTTTCCATTATTAATTGCAGTCATAATAATAATTCATTAATGTAATCCTGTTACGGTTAAGCAGATACTTAAAATCTACTATAGGAATTGTGCCTTCACTAACATCTCACTGAGCAAAAGAGTAATCAGATGAATGCTCCAGGTTACAAGTATTTTGGTGTTCTTTTATACATTTACTGAATAGGCAGCATTGGGGAGGCTAAAGTGACTTTCTGACTTTAGGTCTTTAGGTCAATTTAAGGATGAAGTCAACTTAATGATGTAATCACTTTAATATCCATCTTAGTAAATATTGAACAGTCATGTAATGATATTTTTACCTGATAGATGCGGTACTAGAGGCAAATAATGTATAAAATTGTGAAATGTGCTTTGGATATTTTCCTATGTGGATCTGGATAATTTAATTTCTTTATCACTTTGACAATAAGCACATGAACTGACCCATAAGTCAGAACATAAAGTAATCTGAAGTGTACTAGCAGTGTAGATTAGATTGTAACAATTTAAAACAAACATCTGACTGATTATTTTAATTGTGTATTGCTTTGATTGTCCCCAAAAGCTTTCAGTTTTTTACATTTTTATAGAAGCTATCTAAATGGTTACAATGTTATTTCGGTGGTAGAAACAAAAATTCAGCCTCCGCCTTTCAAATAACTCCCTGTCAAGCAATCCCCACAAAATTGTTCAGGAGTTTTCTATGCACTTATCCAAGCTTTACAACTCTACCGCCCCATTCGACCCCTCAGCGGCCTCAGCTTTGTTCTCTGAGGTGGTAATGCCTGGGATGTCAGAATCCGTCCGCACATCGCTAGATGCCCCTATTACTAACTCAGAAGTACTAGCAGCCATAAAAACTCTTAAAATAAGTAAGAGACCTGGCCCAGATGGTTTTTCCGCTATTTACTATAAAAAATTCTCAGAAGTTTTGGCACCTCTATTGACAGCGGCCTTTAACGATGTCCGAGACGGATCAAAATTCAGAACGGAATCCCTCGCAGCCACTATTTGCATGATTCCGAAGCCAGACTCAGATGGAACTCACTGGGCTAACTATAGACCAATATCGTTGTTAAACATAGATGTCAAGTTATTAGCCAAAGTATTAGCAACAAGACTGAACGTAATCATCCCGACCCTTATCCACAAGGACCAGGTTGGTTTCATCCCCCGGCGCCAAGCCCGCGACAATGTTCGCCGAGCGTGCCTTCTTATTGAAAAAGCTAAACAACCTGGCGTTCCATGTATGCTTCTGTCTCTGGACATGCAAAAGGCGTTCGACTCCCTCTCATGGCAATACTTACTCTACATTCTTAACAAATGGGGTTTCGGGTCGAGGTTCTGCTCCTGGATTACCGCTCTGTATTCTAGCCCTACAGCATCTGTGAAATACGCTGGCCATAGATCCGCTCCCTTCCCCATCCTCCGAGGCACCAGACAAGGCTGTCCTTTGTCTCCTTTGCTGTTCGCTTTGGCCATCGAACCTCTAGCCCAACTAGTTAGAATCCACCGAGACATCTCAGGCATTACACTCGCGGGACACCATCACAAATTATGTCTTTTTGCAGACGATATCCTTCTCTTTCTTTCCAACCCTCACATCTCCCTCCCTAACTCTTTGCATCTCATAGACTCTTTCAGCCAACTATCAGGACTGCACTTAAACACCTCGAAATCCAAAGCTCTCAATATAACGCTGCCCCCACACACACTCGAAATGCTGAAATCCAATTATCAATTTCAATGGGAACCATCCTCCTTGAAATATTTAGGTATTCACTTGACCCCCTCTCATCCCTCTCTATACCCCGCTAACTACCCTCCCTTATTCACCAGAGTAAGGAACCTCCTTAAAATTTGGCACACATACCCTCTCTCGTGGCTAGGTAGAATTGCGGCGGTCAAGATGACACTTTTACCAAAACTCCTATATCCATTTCGGGTCCTACCCGTCCCAATACCCCCGCACCAACTTAGAGTCCTCCAGAGACACATCTCTAACTTCATCTGGTCATACAAAAAACCTAGAATCCCAGCGACCACTATGTACCAATCCAGGCGTTCAGGCGGTCTGGGTGTACCACACCTCCAAAAATATTACCACGCAGCCCAATTGGCAACTATTATCAAATATCACGCAACTACAGAGGTGCCTATCTGGGTCTCAATTGAGGCGATAGATTGTGACCCATATGCAATAGATAATCTTTTGTGGATGCACCCTAAGGACAGGAGAGACATCTCCAACACCATAACACGTCTCTCGCTCCGCATATGGGATGACACTAAATACTCATGCGGCTTCCTTTCACCTCATCTACCCATGCTCTCCTTCTTACACCACCCTGCCTTTCCTCCAGCATTTGACTCCCCAGCCATATTTCATAAATGGAGAGAAAAGGACCTCACCCGCTTTCACTCCCTATTCAATACTAGCGGTATAGTACCCTTTCCGGATATTCAAACCCGACATTCTCTCCCAACATCCGAAATCTTCCGTTATTTACAGATCAAGAGCTTTATACAAGCAAGCAGTAATCTAAGTGGGCACCTTCAATCTTTGTCTCCCTTTGAGAAAATTTGCAAATGCGACCCCCATACAACTGGCATTATCTCACAATTATACACGTCTTCCCTACAAATCACCCACACACCACTCCATCCATATATGGGCCGCTGGCAGAAGGACTTAGAGCTTGTGCTCCCTGAAGACACCTGGTCTCAGATATGGACCTCCACCAACTCTTGCTCCAGGAGTGCTAGGGTCCTTGAGACAAACTATAAAGTACTCCTACGTTGGTACATAACCCCATCCCGAGCCCAATTCTTTGTAGCAGGGTGCGAGGGCAACTGCTTTCGGGGTTGCCTTACCAGCGGCACATATATGCATACATGGTGGTCCTGCCCTATCATTCAGTCATACTGGTCTAAAATATATAGAATGATCTCTACTCTTATGGGCACACATATCCCCCTTACTCCCCAAACAGCACTACTCAACGCTAAACCCACAAACATTTCACATTCTAAATTTAAACTGATGCTCCACGTCCTCTCTGCTGCCAAACATACCATAGCCTGTGCTTGGTTAACCAACAAAATCTCTTTTCAAGCCACTAAAAACAGAATTCATTGGTCCTTTTCACATGAAAAGCTCTCTGCGCATCTTTCTGACCGCATGCCTCAGTTTGAAAAGCTATGGGAACCCTGGGTGAAACACTTCTTACCACCAACCTTTGACACACGCCTCATGACCCTATAATAATCCCCACTTCATGCCTTTAAGCTGGCTCGTAACTGACCTTGATCGAGCGTCGCACCTATTCCCGCCTTTCTCCCCCTCTTTACTATACCTCCCCCCACCCGATCTGTCTCCACTCTTGTCTTTCCCCCTCCTTGTATGTCCCTCACTACGGTGGCGGTAGCCCTGTGAGGGACAGTCCTCACCTTAACTAAGTAATTACCGGGCGATTGCTATTAATATGTCATGTCTGCTGTCGCTACCACTGTTATATAGCAATGCCAATGTTTACATCACTATGTTCGTACACACACGATGTTCGTGTCAGTGTATCGTTTGATAAGTACTTTACTGGAAAAATAAAAAACTTTTTGAAACTAAAAAAAAGAAACAAAAATTCAGCAAAAGTTGGCTTTAGAGCACACATTATTTAAAGTGAAACTTCAGTCTAATGTAGTCGAAGTACATATATATGTGAACTATTTTACCTTCTAAAATATCTTTCATTTAGTGCAGCCATTTGTGATTCACATCCTTGCTACACTATGTTGCATGCCAATAGCTAGTAAAAATATAAGGTAATTGACTTCACTGATTCTTCCCTCTTTTCAGTAAGAAGAGGAAAGGAGGAACTTAACCAGTCAACTTGGCAAGCAGCACAAGAAACAGTGGCAGGCTCTAGCGTTGTAAACATTGGGTATATGCTTCTCATATGCTAACCTTAAAGTGACATTAAATTATGTCCCCCCCAAGGTTAGTGTAAAGACAAGGAGCGGAACTACCGCCAGTGCAGCCAGTGCGACTGCACCAGGGCCTGAGCCTGGCAGGGCCCAGCAGAACCAAGCACCAGACCAGTAGTGAGGTAGGGCCGCACGTCCAAACGTCCGCATGAAAGTGAGGCCGGAGTGAGTCAGAGCAGCCTGCAGGCCCTGGGGATTGGGGATGGGGCTTTGGCCAGCAGGGGGTGGGGCTTTGGTTGGC